CTCTTGGAAATTATTTGACTTTGACATTTAATCAGCAATGTTATTTGTGAGTACATCTTATATGATGATGATGTGATGTAATGTGAGATTTGTCAACTTATGCATGAACAATTACAGGTGGAACAGTCAAATTTTGGGCAGAGTCTGCGTTTTGTGTACAACCAATGCATTGCAGCAAGTTCAGCATGAAAAGCTATCGCTTAGCTAAGTATTTTAAGCACGATTGTGTGCTCACTCCTTGTTAAAGAACTATCGAGGTTTGTTTGTATCATATTGTTGCGTCCCTTTAGTAATACCACTAAAAGAGAGTTCCCATGAGTTTGCTGGAAAGGTTAAAGGTATTGTGTGGTACCTGCATTGGATTCGCACATTGGTGTTTGAATCTAATCACCTGCGTGTAGTCTCACTGTTATTGTGTGCTTATTTTCTCAAATTTTTAATTGTTTGGTGCTAAAACAATGATCTGCTCCTTTTTGACTGTGTGTTACAGGTGTGTATTCACTTGGGTGAGATGAAATGCTTATAATTCTGATGTCAACCTTGTCACTCCTTCCTATTGTTTTGTGAAACTGTGTTGGAGTAGTGTTTCAGGAGAGCAGGTTGTCCAGTCCAGGCGTAGCAGAGCATCGCTCGCCGGTTTCCAGCCGTCTGGTAAGTAACACTGCACCGGCCACGGCCACGAGAACCGCTGCCTTAGTTTCCTCTTTTTATTTGGTTGTGGTCTAGTTTTGTCTTGATGGCGAGTTGAGGCAAAGCAGCTCGCCATCGCCCTCCTCTCCCCGACCCCTCTCCTTGTCCCGCCACTGGCTGTACTCCGCGCTGGCCGCGCTGGCGCTAGGCACCGCTGCAGCAGCGCCCCTAGCGGCGGCCAAGAGAAGTACGACACTCGCGGTCGGTGGAGTTCGGAGGAGTTGGTCCTGCCAGCGTTCAGTTCACTCCAGCTTCAGCTCCAGCTAGCCCGCCTCGCCTCGACACCTGTGACCTGCGCTGCAGCTGACTTGTTTTTCCTTTGCTTTTGATTTGACTAGTTGAGTATTTGAGATGGATTCGCTGGAAAGCGCATTCTCGTGGCGCGAGGTGGTTCCTCGTGGTAACGTCGTCGACGTTTACCTCAGAATCCCCGTCCCCGAAGGTCTTAGAGTCAAGTTTCTGAAGGACAGCCAAGTCGAGTCTGTCGTAAATTTCGTCGCACCCGTTGAGGTGCGTTTGATGCTGTCGACAGCGGAAGGTCTGCCCGTGTGTCCTGTGTTTGGATGAGTTTTAAGCAGGTTAGTTTTGCTGTCGTTCTCATTGCGTGCATGCGTCGTCTTGAGGTTAACGGCACATGTGGCCGGCCTTTTCACTCTTCCGTATGCAATTGTACTCCTGTACTAATGTGTTGGTTTTGTTTGTTGCACAGTTGCGCATGGTTTGTGTTGCCATCGACTGCAGCTGGTCTAAAGAGGCGTCTTTAGAAGACAATGTCGAGTCCCTCCTTCACAAGGCTACTGTGAGCATTCAGGGAAAATTGGGGTTGTGTTCGGAGCTGGACCTCATGTGGAGGGCCGTCGGTTGGAACCGTTTCGTCGACCACCCCAAGATGGAAGTTGGTGTCCCTAGAGGGGGAATGAGGAGGTCTACCAAAAACCTCAACTTGAAACTTGTGTGTAACTTTCCGAAGAGTGTGGATGTCCAGCACCTCATCGTGGAATACAACTCTCATGAAGTTCTGCGTGGATGCATTCCTGGCAGTAACCTCGTTCAGTGCATGGCTTCCTCTGGTGCATGCAACTCTGTAAGTACCTGTGCTGACAGAGTAAGTCAATATAACTTTCTCGCCTTGGACCATTGTCTAATATCTTCCTACTTTATTTCTATTTAGACTGTCCTGCCAACTAGATGTTACCGACCCAAAAGCTGCCCTTCTTCTCACATTCTGTGCTACAGGTGTGTGTTTGGACTCCTCAAATCCTTGGGTGAAGAGGTCAAGAAGATTCCGTTGTGCATAGTACCTGGTTGTCTTACAAAGTACTTCTACAATGACTTGCTTTGGATCGTCAAGGAGAGGCCAGAGCTTACAGACAAAATTGAGCGCCTCGAGCACAGTGAGAGTTTCGCCATCTACAATTCTTTCTACAGGAGGTTTGAATGTCCATGGTGCCATGAGACGCCCTTCCCACAAGTTTATGTCGAAAAGTACAATATCACAGTCTGCAGATCCTGCGATAAGTGCAGTTGTGATTCTTGCTTGTCACCAGTTGATTTGCCAGAGAACCAGTGTGAGTGTGAACTCAGTTTGTTTGTACACTCGTATGGTTTGCCGAAGTAGAATGTATATTAATTGAATGACTGTTCCTTAATTTTGCAGGGTGCAATTTCAAGAAGGGGCAACAGTTGCTCAAAGCCCAGGAAAGGAAGGAGGAGGACCCTGAGCAATATCAGCAGATGATGGAGAAGTACAGTTTTGAGGGGCTTCAAGAAATTAAAGAAGCTTACGAGTACCAGGATAGGGCTGTATATCAGAATCAATGTTGTCCTGCTTGCTTCACCCGTGTCTTTGTGAGTATATACCCATCTTCATCGATCTTTGTGTTTAAGTACTGAATTCAATTCTTACCTATTCTGTTTCTTTTCAGAAAACTCATGGCTGCGACCATATGATTTGCTGGTGTGGGCAAGACTTCTGTTGGCGCTGTGGTGCCCCTATGGATCCGAAAGTACCATTCCTTCATTTTGAAGACAATGGGGATTGCAAGCCCTTCGATTTATCTTTGTTTTAACTTGTAAGATCTTCACTGCTTTGAAGGGTCTTGTTAGTAAATTAACCTTTATGTTCAATTTTCTGCTGGTTTGGATCACATTGTAGTTATTGTAGTTCCTTCTAAGTCCCTCTTTCGGAGGTCCTTATTAGAAGCTTAAAATCCAAGTTGGGTGTGGTTCGTTCATCTGCTCAAGGTTCATGAAGGGATGTATACTGTTGAACTAGCCAGGCATCGCTTTGTGCACCTTTAGTATGAAACGTTCCTTCACCTAACTTGGGAAAGGGCCCCGTATTTCAGCTAACTATTTGAAACTAGAGCACATCATTTGTGCCTTTCTTTCCATTTTTAATAGTTGGGGTTGTCAGTCAAAGGGGAAATTAGTCAGATCTCTCTTGTATTCAGATCAGTGGCAACCTGTATTTACTGTCTGCTCAATTCAACTAAGCACTTGTTTGTAATTTCTATCTCTAAGGTGTTTTATCTTCGTATTATTTGTATTGTGACATCCATGTCCCTGGGTGTTTTGTTTGCATTCCCACTTGTTCAGTTGTTGTACATTAACATCGTAAGTTAAGTTGCTTGTCTATTAAGAGCTGAATCATCTCAAGTGTTTGTTTTTTAACAACTATTTTTTTATCAGTGTTGAATTCTTTCACATCTTAAGTTGATGTTTAAATGCTATTCTTGATGGCTCTTTGTCTTTTTGTGTGTATTGAGATGTTGGCTTGGAGCGTGTTGGTCTGCTCTCAGTTGGCATCTGACCTCCATCCTTGGTTCGATTTTGTCTTGGGTTGCAACCATC